TTTGCCTAAAGTATCAAGAAAGCGTGCTAATGAGAAAAATCAAGTTAGCAGTAAAATGGTGGTTCGCAATATACCATTTGAAGCCACTGTCAAGGAACTTCAAGAATTATTTAGGTAAACCTATATCTCAATTAAAGTATTTTTACTTAAATTAAAGTCTAATTAATGTAAGTCTTCCCAAAAAGTTTGTTGTAAAAAGTTTGGTCATTATAGTCATTGTTAACTTCTACTAGCTTTTACTTAAAAAAAGCAAATAATACAAGGCAGTAAGATATGGTGTAGGTTTCAGATTATTACTAATAGCAGAGTAATCATGATGGTCCCTGGCCCATAGCAACCGGGGAGGGGGTGCAGCAGGGGTTTTACCCCTTTCCCCCTCTCATAATTTTTCAAATAAATAATTGTGAAGAAATTGACTGAAAAAATGACTTAAAAAAACTGTTCTCAAAACTATATCAGGGTAGTACTCCCACCCCCACCCCCTCAATATAATTTTTGTTTCTATGGACCTGGATCCTAATTCTTGGCATTGTACTCAACATGATCTTTGTAAAATTTATTTTTTAAGTTTTTTTGTTATTTTTGTTAGTTAAAAATCTTATTATAAATGTAAGTTGTTTTATAAAACAAATCTCCCTAAAATAAGTCAGTAAACTTCTTTAATAGAAAATTAACAAAAAAGAAAAAAGAATACACTCCAATAAAATAAATAAACAATTACTGAAATGTAAGCTTTTGAAATACAGAAGTTGGTTAATTTAACTGTTTTTGATATAAAGCTTTTTGTGTGAAGGTGTTGCTGGAAAGTGAAGATGTTTTTTTTTATTTTTAAATGTCATAAATATGATTTTTTCACATTAACCAGAAAAAAAGTCTCATAAAGGCATAAACAGTAATAATATTATCTTTTTTAAAAATGACATTATCATTTAAAAAAATATTTTCTCAGTTTTGCTGAGTTGTCTGAAAAAAGTCTGATAATACATACTCAAGAATGCTCTGGAAAATTCATGATTTTTTTATTTAGAGTTTTTAATTTAAAAAATGTCAAGCAAGAAGAAAAGAGGACTTGAATTCCTGCTTGGAAGTCAAATAAAAATTATTTTACCTTTTTACTACATAAATATATCTTCAAATCACCTAAATAAACTTCAAAAACCTTCCACTGCAGTTATAGGCTTTACTTTTTTACTTTTAGCCAATATGATACAGGTTCTGTATCATATTGGCTAAAATACAATATGATACTTTGTTCAGCATATTAAAAATTAATGAAACATATTTTTTGAGTTAACTATATTTTTTAATATAGCAAACTCATTTATAACATTTTTTATTTCTTATCTCCTCAAGTTATTAGAATTGAGAGTACACTACAGTCGAAGAGAGAATTTTTTTAATTTTTATTTTATCTCAACCCCAAACTGTGATACATGTTTAACAAGGCCGCTGTGTGGGTAGATTGACAGCAGTACTTCAAAAAGCAAAGGTTAAATTTAAACAAATGGTTTGTGAGCCAATGGTTCTAAAACTAATCTACAACCATATTGTATATGCACCTTAGATATATAAATTACTGGATACAGCATAGGCAGAAATAATTGAAGCCGGGCAAACTTCGCCTTGATGACGTAGAGTGAGACAGAAAATACAGTTTAATCAGTGTATACTATGAACAATGTTTATAATTTAATTTCAAGTTATATTTTGTATTGTATAGTTCATAAAACAATAACTTCGAAGGAATTGGAATTCATTTATAGTTAATGTATATTTTATTTACAGATTATCTTAATAAAATAAATCTTAGCTGGCTCAAAATTATAAGATTTTGAAAATCCAAAAAAAAAAGCTTATCAAATACTGCAATGTAAGTAATAATTTAATTAAAATAATATACCACGAATTATCTAATGAACTTGTATATAATGTTGTATAATGCAAGATTTATATGGAGCTTTGAGACTAACATTGAATATAAAATTATACATCTATATTTATGTATAATATATTTATCAATAATATACATAAATATTTATGTGCAATATATTTAAAGATTTAGTACTTGTTTTAAAATGGTTAATTTGTGCAGTGCTTTCGGGTGTACAGCTAGTTCTGCTAAAGGGTTCTCCAGAAGTTTTTCATAGGTAAGAATTTAGTATCTATATAATAAAAACATTTTTGAAGAATCAATAGAAATTTATTATGTTGATTTTAAAAGACAAGCACTGTATGTATAATGAATTCTAACTATGCATTTTTAAATAGATTTCCTATCAATCCAGATAAAAAAGCAGCATGGGTTTTTGAAACAAAGTGAAAAAATTTTGTCCCCACTTCAGCTAGTTTTATTTGTTCTTGCTTTGATGAAAGCAAAACATCAGGAAAAAAGAATGCTGAAAAAAAAATGAGAGTAGAAGATTGCATGGAAACTGATTCAGACATCTTGCAAACTGTCAACAAGAAAGTGTCTTTTGTATTAAAGGCTTATAAATGACAGAAAAAACGTATCAAATGTGTAATGCAACCAAAGCGCAGACTCAAAAAAAAAGTTGCAAAACTTCAAAATGTGATCAATGAGTTAGAAGAAAAACGTTTAATTAGTGATGAAGCGACAGCAACTTTAAATAGTTATAATCCTGGTGTTAATGATTTAATTAAAAAACTGAAATCTAAAAGCAAATTAAAATACTCTCCATCATTGCGAACTTTTGCATTAACATTGCATTTTTATTCAGAAAAAGCGTATGATTATGCCAGACAGTCCTTCGACACTTGTCTTCCTCACCCACTTTGAGAAAATGGTATAGTAGTCTAAATGGACAGCCAGGCTTTACTCATGAAGCATTCCAAATTTTAAAACTGAAAAATAATGAAACTAACAAAAAATTTTTATGCAGTTTGATAATGGACAAAGTGTCAGTTCAAAAGCAAATTGATTGGGATGGGCATATAATCCATAAGATTTATTATGGGTTTGTTAATTATGGAGCAGGTTTTAACAATGACAGTGTTGGTGTTGCTAAAGAAGCTTTTGTTTTGTTATTAGTTGCTGTTAATGGACATTGGAAGATCCCAATAGCATATTATTTAACAGATGGACTTAATTCAAAAGAGAAAGCAAACATTATTTCTGAATGCCTCATCAAAGTTCATAAAACTGGAGTTCAAGTTATTTCTTTAACTTTTGATGGTACAGCTGCAAGTTTATCTATGATGAAAATTCTTGGTGCTGACTTAAATGATATAAGAAATCTAAAAACATTTATTCAATATCCAGTAAGTGCAGAACCAGTATTTTTAATTCTTGATGCTTGCCATGTGTTAGAAATTAGATAGAAATTGCTTTGGTGAAAAAAATTGCTAAAAGATAGTAGTGAAATATTATTAATTATGCTTTTATTGAACAATTGTATGAGCTTCAATCGAAAGAAGGAATTCATGCTGCTAATAAACTGAAAAAGCACCATAATGAATGGAAACAAAAACAAAGTGAAATTGGCAGCACAAACCTTAAGTCAAAGCATTGAAATGCTCTTGATTTTTGTGCAAAATTAAAAGAGTTTCAAGATTGTGGACCAACTATCAATTTTATTCAGCTTATAGACAAAAGTTCTGATTTACTAAACAGTCGAAATTTTATTGGTAAAAATTATAAAGCTCCTATCTCTTTAAGCAATTTGGAACACTGTACAAATTTTGTCAATATGATATGTCAGTACTTGTCCAGTTTGACAGACAGTGCTGATAACTTAATTTATAAAACAAACAGAAAAACTGGCTTTATTAAATTCATGTTTAGACTTCAATCATTATTTCAACTTAGCCAAAACTTGATTTTATCTCCAAAAAGCCAGTTTAAATTCTTGTTGACATACAAACTGAGTCAAGATCATATTGAAATGTTCTTTAGTCTATTAGAAGTCAAGGTGGTTTTAATAACAATCCATCAGCAAAACAGTTTATGACAATGTATCAGCGTTTGTTAGTGCATCACTCATTACGAAACATAAAAACTGGAAATTGTTTAGCTCAGGATGCTACAGAAATACTTTCTGAACAAACAGAATTGTGAATCATCAGGAATGTAAATTTAATGGCAATGATTCAAGTTTATTTATAGCTAATGAGGATACTACACCAATAAGTATTATGGAATCATCACAATTGTCTAAATATTCTGAAGAAGTGGTGAAGTATATAGGTGGATTTGTCAGTAGAAAACTAAAAAGATCTATTAAATGTAAGGCATCTCTTACTGATGATAATTCACAAAGTTCAGTTGTTGATCAAAAAGCAGAGGTGGTCTTCTTCATCCATCAAAAGATGTTATTGTAATTTGTTCTTTTGTTGAAAAGTTTATTAGACATAGCATTCCAAACAAATTGAAAATCAATGAACTACAATACAATACAATACTTTTTATGAAATCTAATCCATATTTAAAAATGACAATTCGCCGCCAACTTTCTAAATTTTCTAAAGCAATTTTTCAAGAACTTACAAATCATATTCAGGAACTTCCAATCGAAGATAATCGTTTGGTTAAACTGATCAATTTGATTATAGAAGCTTATTTAGATGTATGTCTCATCCTGTGCAACAAGTTATATACAAGGAGCACAAGTTCGAAACAAACTAACTAAACTTGAGTTGTTCAAAAATCAGGAAAAGAAATCAATATCTTTATTATATATTCATATAATATATATATATATATATATATATATATATATATATATATATATATATATATATATATATATATTATATATATATATATATATATATATATATATATATATATATATCTGTATGCATATATATATATATATATATATATATATATATATATATATATATATATATATATATATATATATATGTATATATATATATATATATATATATATATATACATATATATATATATATATACATACAGATATATATATATATATATATATATATATATATATATATATATATATATATATATATATATATATATATATATATTTATATATATATATATATATATATGTATATATATTTCAAGAAAACTATTGAAAAAAAAAAGTAACTTGATCCAAGAAAGTCTTTTGTCAATGTATGATATTCCAAACATGTATTTTATACATAAATATAGGTATAATATATGTTATAATAAATATAATATAAATAGATATAGATGTATATAAAAATGATTAGTTAGTCTTCTGAATACAGCATTTTTTTAAACACAAATCAATATTCAATAAAAGTATAATGCTAAACTTTAAACTGTATATTTTATTTGCTAGTACAACTTCACTTTAAATAACTGTTTATTATCAAATCTTCAGGTGTCTTGACTCAAGTGATGCTGATAAATTGTTAATAGGCTCAAGTCATGAGGGTAATAACTTAATGATTAAAACTATAAATGCTCATTAAATAAGTTCTCTTCAAACTTATTAATACATAGTACTTTTAACAAACTTTTTATAACAGTAATATGCTTTATAATACATATATTATATTGCATATTACTTTTATTAAAGTGCTATTTACGAATTTGTATAAAATCGTTTTGCCTCACTCTACGTCACTTTTTCAACGGTAGCTCGGTTTCAAAATATTTTCCAAAATTATATGGTCAGACATACCTGAATATATCAGAATGCCCATATAAATTACTGGATACGTTGTATCCAGTAATTTATATATCTATGATATGCACACACCAAGTATATGTAATGCTTACTTCTAATATTCGCTTTAAACAAGTTAAAAAGAAATTCTGGTTACAGGTTACTGTTATTTTGCCAATGTTTTATACTCAATATTTTCTTCAATGTTTGTTCTATGAGATATTTCAACATTTAAATATTTAAGCTTTTTTTATTACTATCTTCACCACATTATATTTATCAGCAATCGTTACAAATATTAAAATATGATAATAAATTTTGTAACAAATATCAAAAATAATGATTGATAAAAAAATTATGTCTCTATTTTTAGTACGTTTGGTCACATAAAGTCTTTGCGATTACCAAAGAAAATAACTGGTACTCATCGTGGATTTGCTTTTATAGATTTCACTACTAAACAAGATGCTAAAGTAAAGAATTTTATTTCATCAATAATTATTTTGTAAAATCTATTATTAATTTTTTATTTTTAAAGATTAAATCAGTTATTATTTTTAAAATAGCGAGCATTTAAAGCTCTTTGTCAAAGTACCCATCTTTATGGTCGTCGTTTAGTTCTTGAATGGGCTGATGACGATGATAGTGTTGATTTATTAAGGAAGAAGACAGCTGAACTTTATCACGAATCTTCAGGTAATTTAAAAAAAATTATATACAATAAAAAAGCCTTAGAAAAATAAAGTTTATCTTTATATAAACTAATTAATTTTTTTAAATCATATTATGACCTCATCGTATTATGACCTCATTATATTATGACCTCATACCATATGACCTCACATCATATGAGCTCATCGAATATTCTGCCTTTTTATATTCTCATACAATAAAATTATATGAGAATGTAAAAAGACACGATGCGTACATGTATTGTAATACTACTTGTGTTACAATATATATAACATATTCTTTAATATATTCAACATCACATAAAGCGTTATATAGAGCAATATTGTGAGGGTATAACGTTTATTAAGATTATTAAGTTTAGCAACTATGGTTCCATACTTGTGTATTTAAAACCATATTTTTTAAATTTGTTGGATGAGTTTCCATAATGCCATTTTCTTATTTTAATTTGACAATATAAATGACTTAAAATTTTTTTTTACAACTGGCGTTAAACTGTTTTGACGATCAGATAATTTTTATTGATAAACTACTACTTAGTAATAATATTACAATATGTATGGTAATCCTCCTAGTAACTGTTGTAATCCTCCTAGTAACTAGGAGAATTACTATTTAAGATTTAAGTTTCCCTTTTATTTTTACACACAATTGATTTAGGGTTTTTATATCAAAGTTTTCTTTTCCTAGATAAGTTGCCATGGCTAAGGAGATTTACCCACCCCAGTTTTTTTATGTTTTTAATATATTTGAAATTATAGGAGAGAAAAAGTGAAGAGAATCCTAAAGGATAGTTAGTTATCCACCTGTAAGACTTGTTTAAGCGGAAAAATATCTCTACATTAGGGAAAGGGGACGGACATATCAAAAACAAACTTCAGTAAGAATCAACAATTATTGTTGCATTACTTTTTATGAAAAGGTTTTCTTTTTATGTTTTTGTCCTTTTTTTAACGGTACTTAAAAGTAGACCATGGTTTGGTCTACTTTTAAGTGCCGTTTTTGTGACCTTCTTTTAAGTACCGTTTGAGATAAACGTTGTTTTAACCAGGCAGCAGTTATAATAAAATTATTATTATTGTTATTTTTTTTCTAAAGTATTGTACTTCGCTACATTTGAAATTATATGCGTTACTGAGTAAAAAAATGTATCATGTATTGTTTAATTTCACAAATACTATGATTTAATTTTTTTATTTTTTCACTTTAATAAAAATGATACTTAAATTGTTTAAAAATACATGTTAAGCGCGCTCATAACAACTTTAAACTGCTTAAGCTTGGTTTCTTTTCGCTTTTTACGACCATAAAAAAAATTTCTGCGCAAAAAAAAAAAAAAATTATGTAGAAAAAAATAGACTACGTGATTTTTGTTTTTTTATTCGACAGCTTTTTTATCGAACGGGCTGTTAAAAAAGTAACGCAGTAACTTTTACTCTGAGTACATTTTTAATAAGCTTATTTTTATTTTTACTTGAGTAAACTTTTCGACCGGTAACTTTTGCTTGTACTTGAGTAAAATTTCACTCAAGTAACAGTACTTTTAGTACAATTTTTTTTTTACTTTTTCGACCTCTGTTAAAATATCATTATTATTGTCATTATTGTTATTATTATTACTATTATTATTGTTATTATTATTATTATTATTATTATTATTATTATTATTATTATTATTATTATTATTATTATTATTACTGAGAGATTTCGGCACGGTATAAGTTTTGCTCATATATTTGCACTTGGATATCTTCATAAATCTTTGTACTCGACGTCGTTGATTCTGTAATAGAAGTATAAATTAAAGTGTACTTAGAGACTTTTTATTTAGCCTTTGTATTAATGCATAATTGATTGTATTGTATATTTTTAGAGCCGTCTGCAAAAAAGTCTAAAATGAACTTGCAGAGCGCACTTGAAAAGACAAAGATTTCATCAGATAGTTTGTAATAAAATGTACTTACTTATGTAAAGAAATCTTATAGTCATTTATTTAATCGAATAGCCCTATTTAATTGAAATGAATGAATATAATCTTTCATTGTTGCAAATAGATAGTTAACAATAAATAAATAAAAAGTAACCTTTTTGTGCAATTTAATCGTAATAAATCATAAGGTAACTTCTATGTGCAATTTAATTCTAATAAATAAACAACAAACGTCTATGTGCAAAACAAATTTTGTCTGTCATTTGTATAAACTATTTGATAAAATGGCTCAAGATACTTCCTTATCAAAGATGTCGTAAACTACTTGATTGAATTCCTCAAGATATAACATTTATTAAATAATTTGTGAAGAGTTTATTCAAGACATGATTTTATTGATTTTTACGTCTAAAAATTTGACTTCAACAAATCGCAATAAATGTAACGCCTCATAAGGATTCAATACGTCAACGCGTATTAAATATAAAGCTGTTGCTCGCGCAATGATACCGTCGCTTTAAGTTTTTTCTCAAAGTCGCAGTAGTGATTTTTGATTGGTTGATTTTTTTTTTTTTAATTTAAAGAATGCATGTACAAACTAAAACCCTTAATCGATTGTATGTACGCTCCACTGCGCCTATCCCTAAATTAGTCGATGTTCAGGTGCTCCACTTCGCTTATCCCTAAATCAGTCGATGTATGTACACTCACTGCGCCTATCCCTAAATCAGTTGTTATATGTACACTCACTGCGCCTATCCTTAAATCAGTCAATGTATGTACATTAGGGTGTACGAAAAACGAACTTTTTTCCCCCCGAGGATACCATCGCCATGAAGTGATAGTTGTAAAATTCGAAAAAATTTGATTCATTCGAAAGTAAATGTCCGTTACATCAATGTTGAATTAATATGTAGAGAAATTTGTTTTTTATTTTTAAAAGTTAATAAGGATGCCTAGGTTGAATAAAATTATTATTAGTCTGATATATTTGTTTTTACAAGAATATTTTTGAAACATACTTATTCAAAATGGTGAATAAGCAGATTCAAAAATATATTTAAGCTTAAGAAAAAGTGTGTTTTTTTGTAAGAAAGTCAAAAAATACTTTTTAGAATTCCTATACGTCACATTTTATTTATAAAAATCCTCATATACCAACAAAGGAAAAAACAATCAATGTATGATAGACTTGTAGATGGTTAAAAAACAATAATCCAAAACCAAATAGTAAAGTTTATCTTTTTAATTGACCATCGGCATCGACTAATTGAATAATGCTCAAAAAAATTAAAAAGATAAATTTAATTATTCGGTTTTGGTTACATGTTTTTTAGATTTTTAAGATGATTAAATTTACTCGTGTGTGTTATTTAATTTAAGATATCATAGTATTTTGTAATATGAGCCGTTCTCGCACAAAATATACAAATAAAGGAGAAAAAAAAAATACAGACCAATCCTAGAAGACAACTGTTTCTTCTCAAGTATCCTATCAACCAATTACCTATAAACCAGCTTCCCAGCATTGCAAATGTTCTTAGATACATACAGTTTATCAAATCCTCAAGGTCTTTGAAATTTAAATCTAATAAGCCAATGGAAGCTCTAAAAAGTTTCCAGGCAAAGATCTTATTTGCAAGGGTGGATTATGTAGAAATCCATATTATTAATATGATTTATAAAAAGTAACCATACCTTGGTAATTATGAAACTTTGTATAATGATTTTTTATATCATTAAGGGATAAGATTTTGAAACTCCATACTAAGTATTGCAAGCTAATTCATTTGAGAAAACTAAACTGGGATTCCAGAACTGATAGATTTACTAAGATCCAGAGAGAGTTCATTCAGAGAGCACCCAACTCTTCGACATATCTGTAGCGAAATTTGAGGAAAAAATCCAATCAGATTGCCTTTGTACCCAGGATGCCAACGCGGAAGACATTCAGTTTTTTTTAGACCAGAGAGAGGATCGAAAAATGTATATAACTACAGAAATAGACAAAGAATTTAAAGCATCTATTAAAAATTGACAGGATTGTTGTCAGAGAATAAAGAATATGAAGATTACAACAGCGGAAAAAGATAAAAAGAAAAGAGTTCCTAATGAGGTTTCATATGATTCTGATATCAACTCATATGCATCCGAGTCAGATGCTACAGTTTTCACAGATGAAGATAATATCAATGAATTATTTCAAAACTTTAGTTCTATAGTAAAAGTCAAGGAAAATAAAAAATTGTTATAAAATCTAAAGTTATTTGTATAAATTTGAGTAAACTAAATTTAAATGCATTCAATTAGATTAGAAATATCACTTCAATTTAATATTTAGATAATGATAAATATTAGACCTGAGGATCTAGTGGATTGTACTTTTGTGGTATCTGCTCGGTATAGGGTTGGAATCCGACCTCAAACCGCAATCGTTGCAGAAATATCCAACAAAGCAGACGTGAATCTTGAGAATATATCTCCAAAAGTTCTGTTCATCGAAAGCTCTATTCATCGAAAGCTCTGTTCATCGAAAGCTCTGTTCATCAAAAGCACTGTTCATCAAAAGCTCTGTTCATCAAAAGCTCTGTTCATCAAAAGCTCTGTTCATCAAAAGCACTGTTCATCAAAAGCTCTGTTCATCAAAAGCTCTGTTCATCAAAAGCTCTGTTCATCGAAAGCACTGTTCATCAAAAGCTCTGTTCATCAAAAACACTGTTCATCGAAAGCTCTGTTCATCAAAAGCTCTGTTCATCAAAAGCACTGTTCATCAAAAGCACTGTTCATCAAAAGCTCTGTTCATCAAAAGCACTGTTCATCAAAAGCTCTGTTCATCAAAAGCACAGTTCATCGAAAGCTCTGTTCATCAAAAAGCTCTGTTCATCAAAAGCTCTGTTCATCAAAAGCACTGTTCATCAAAAGCTCTGTTCATCAAAAGCACAGTTCATCGAAAGCTCTGTTCATCAAAAAGCTCTGTTCATCAAAAGCTCTGTTCATCGAAAGCTCTGTTCATCAAAAGCTCTGTTCATCGAAAGCTCTGTTCATCAAAAGCTCTGTTCATCAAAAGCTCTGTTCATCAAAAGCTCTGTTCATCAAAAGCACTGTTCATCAAAAGCTCTGTTCATCAAAAGCTCTGTTCATCAAAAGCACTGTTCATCAAAAGCTCTGTTCATCGAAAGCTCTGTTCATCGAAAGCTCTGTTCATCAAAAGCTCTGTTCATCAAAAGCTCTGTTCATCAAAAGCTCTGTTCATCAAAAGCACTGTTCATCAAAAGCTCTGTTCATCAAAAGCTCTGTTCATCAAAAGCACTGTTCATCAAAAGCTCTGTTCATCGAAAGCTCTGTTCATCGAAAGCTCTGTTCATCAAAAGCTCTGTTCATCAAAAGCACTGTTCATCGAAAGCACTGTTCATCAAAAGCTCTGTTCATCAAAAGCTCTGTTCATCAAAAGCTCTGTTCATCAAAAGCTCTGTTCATCAAAAACACTGTTCATCGAAAGCTCTGTTCATCGAAAGCTCTGTTCATCGAATGCACTGTTCATCGAAAGCTCTGTTCATCGAAAGCTCTGTTCATCAAAAGCTCTGTTCATCGAAAGCTCTGTTCATCGAAATCACTGTTCATCGAAAGCTCTGTTCATCGAAAGCTCTGTTCATCAAAAGCTCTGTTCATCGAAAGCTCTGTTCATCGAAAGCACTGTTCATCGAAAGCTCTGTTCATCGAAAGAGATTTAAGATGATTGATGGTCTAGGTAAAAATAACTAATTGAAATAAATAATAGTATAAATAAAAATTTAATTAAATTGGTAATAAAACTATTTTGAATATTAGGAGATCAGATATCGCAAGGTATAATGGAAACATATAAGGGAACAAGACTTGTTCCCTTCTATGTTTCCATTATACCTTGAGAAAAGAGATGGAGGATAATTTAAATATTACTGTTACTGTTGAAAGAATTTCTGTACATCACCAGATATTGATCACACAAATAACATTCTCCTTGGAGTAGTTCAAGCTCAAAATTCCAAGGGAGTTGATCAGGCAGATTTAATCTTAAATTTCTTAGAGTACATTGTTGATCAGATCTTCGCCATATGCTGTGACACTACTGCTTCCAATAATGGAGTATTTACTGGAGCCATTAACATCCTCACAAACATCCTCAGCATTCCGTTTCTCTGGTTTCTCTGCAGTCGACAGGTGTTTGAGATAAACATCTCACATTTCATGGAGGCTTTTACTGGTGAAAAAACAAAGGAGCCCAGGTGAGCACTATATTTAAGACTTAGATATAACAAAGCCTGGCTAAGTATCAAGGAGAAGGTGGATAAGATGGAGGAGGTAATTAGGTTTTATTGGAATGAACTACAGGTTGGATCATCCTTGTACAACATAGCAAGGAACGTCTTAGAGTTTTGCAAAAAGATACTGACCACAAAGACATTTAAAAGAGTCGACTACAAGAAGCTCTGCAAACTAGTTGTACTCTATTTAGGAGGAAATGTACCAGGGTTTCGTTTTCATCAACCTGGAGCCTGCCACAAAGCCAGGTATGGTTGAAGTATATTATCAATAATTTGTATTATTAGAAGAGAGTACATTTGCAATATTTTTCTATATAACTAATAATAAAAATTTATTCTAAAGGTTCAGGCAGATACTCTATACCTGCTGACACTGAGGATGACTAAGAAGGTAGCCCAGGTGATGAATGAGAAAGAAAAGAATGGTTAAGACTGCAACATTCTTTGTTTCTACATGCTATAGACCCTGTTCGTAAAATCATATATAATTGACAAGTCACCTTCAAATGTCCTAGCTGTCTTCAAGTCATCGTTTGAAATAAGGCAGGCTCCAAATGGAATGCCTGCAACCATAAACAAGATCCAACTCGGGGAACCTACCAGCTCAAATAGGTCAGTTGATCTTTTGATAACTGGTAGCTTTGGTTTCCCCATATAAAACCAAACCTACCAGTTATCAAAAGGTCAACTGAGCTATTTGAGCTGGTAGGTTCCCTGAGTTGGATCTTGTTTATGGTAGCAGGTATTCTATTTGGAGCCTGCCTTATTTCAAATGATGACTTGAAGACAGCTAGGTCATTTGAAGGTGACTTGTCAATGGTATTCCATTTGGAGAGGCGGAGAAGTGGCTCAAGGAATATGTCAGTGAAACTTTTGATCTATTTAAGAGGTTTTTGAAATCGATTGAATGTGTTAATGACTGCGCTGAAAGAAATATCCGACTAATCCAGGATTTTTTTAGAGGCTACAGTTCGGATGATATAAAACAGAACCTCCTGCTCGTTGCCAGAGACAACAAAAAAACTAAAGAAAGAACTAACAAAGAAGCAACTCATAAACGTTTAATTTTTAAAGTTTAAATATATTTTTTTAAGAGAGTTAAAATACATAGGTTTTTAAAATACATAGTGTTTTCGTGAAAGTTTCTTTTTTTTTGAAAAATGAAACTTTACAGCTATCATTTTTACAAAAGCAAAAATAGTTTTTTTGTTTTTTTTTAGCCTATTTGGACGTTAGAGAATGGAAGAACATTGAGAGGTATTTTTTTTTTTTTTTTTTGGTACACCCTAATGTATTAATTTTGGTACACCCTAATGTATTACCCTAATGTACACCCCATTTTTGCACTTGAAGTCATAAAAATAATAAGAATAAATAATCACGCTTCTCAAGGCTTACCGTGATACATTTACCTTGTGATAATACAATAATGCTCTGTGGAATACAACATCTTGGTTGGATGTGGGCTGTATTGATGTAATGAAACACTTGTTGTATTTCACTTCTTGAATTAATTTTCTTTGATAAAACACTTTAATAATACTCACTTCGATAAACTGTCTTGATAATACAGACTGATTGACTTCCATATACTGACTGAATTACATGTCGATTTACTAAGCTGTATAGTAATCTTATATTCTTATCTTAAACCTAATCTTATATTAAAATCTCTTATATAGTAAAATGAACCTGTGTGAACTTGTTCTGGAAGATTCTAGATGCTTCTTTTCGATGCTTCTGGAAGCTTCTGGATGCGTCTGGATGCGTCTGGATACTTCTGGATGCTTGTGGATGCTTCCAGATGCTTTTTCTGGAAATTTCTGAAAGCTTCTACATGCTTCTGAAAACTTCTGGAAATTTCAGGATACTTTCTTTAATTATTAAAAAACTTCCGTGACGTTGACACGGACCAGACTTAAGAAAATGAAACAAACCAAAAAAGTTGCACTTGTTTTGTCCGCTGCAAAATGGCACTTGTCAACGAAATTCTGCCTGTGTGTTGTCACCTGTCAGCTGATTGCTCATGTCATGGCATGCTATGACTCCAGACTCCTGAACTGTTTGCTGTGGTAGTATAGTTCGTTTCGTTTTTAAGACATGTAAAGTAAGGAACACTTTTTAGCATTGTTCGATGTTGGTTGCAAATGTTTTGTCCAATACTGTAAATAATAAAAATCAATGTAACTTTCAATATACAACAATAATAATAACTTTCAATAAAAAATACTTAAAAAACATTTTTCTTAGTGAAAGACTCGATTCCGGATCATCGTGGAAGATGAATAATCGCGATCATTGTGGAAGATGAATGCAATGAAGATTTGCAATTCTTTTTAAATTTGTACAAATGAAACTTTCAAAATCAACCTATAATATTCGCAGCTGCGACTCAAAATAAACCAGTTAAATTTTACTACCGTGACTTTAAGATAAAAAATATAAGCAACGGTACTGTTGCGCTAGCCACAACGTAAATATAAATCACTACGCATTTACGTAGTGATTTATATTTTGGTTATTGCATCTGCAAAAAGAAACCTTCGCCTTCGTATTTTAGCCTATGTTTGAATTAACATTGTTCCTACTTCATTATTTCTGCTAAGAAATCGATAACATATTTTAATGAACAAATACAATAAAAGATAATAAGATTAATGTAAAATTAAACACTAATAGTACTGCAGAGTGTCAAAAAAATTCAAGTTTGAAGATGTCTTTGACAAGACCGCAGTAAGAACAATGTGAAAACCCCTTCAGTCATTCTTTAATGCAGCAAATGGTTTAGTATAGTATAAATAAAGTCAAAAAGTATTAAAAAATTTTAGTAATTTTGATAAAATTGACTGCACTTAAAATGTGTGTCGCGTCTGTACGGCGCGGCTCAGTATTAAAAATTAATCTAAATGTTTTTTTGTTAAATTTAATTAAAGTCAAAGTACTAAAATCTAATCACTAAAAGCAACTTAAAAACTTATTGGATTAAAGGAATTATCTCGCAGTCCGTGAGATAATTACCATAATCCACAACTAGAACTTAAATTATAATATCTTATCATTTGTTATATTATATAGGTTACACTTTGAAAACATTTTGAAAACATGTAAACTTTAAACATTGAAAGCATGTAAAATTTAGCGTATTCTAATTATTACCATTAATGGTAATGATCAAACAGGCTAAAGTTAATAAAAAAGTTTTTAAATTTTACCTAGCAAACATTGTTTTAGTAGATATGCAGTTTAACTTTATAGGAATAAATGAGCGGCTCATTGGAGTTTTGCTCGTCGGTTACTTAGTGGACCATTACTAGCAACCGCTACAAATGGCCAGCCGACATGTTAATAGTGACATATAAAAAAGAACTTTTTAATAGTGATAGGTTTAAATACCATAAACAGACATTTTAATTTAATTTTATAAACTTATCTTTGATGTTTACTTTTAAAAACTATAATATTCATTTTATGATATAATAATTATCAATCATTTTTTGTATAATAAATATCATTTTATGGTATAATATCATAATATCAACCGATTAGCAAAACTCCAATGAGCCGCTCAAAATAACAACTATATAGGTCCACTGAATTTCCGCTACAAAATGTTTTCTGAGTATAGGCTATATAACATAACAAAATAATAAAATATCATAGCTTTGTTTAGTAAGTTTTATTTTTGGTATTAATACCATTAATAAAACCTAGCAAACAATCTTTGGGTACGATTCTAAAATAGTGCATGTTATATTAAGTCTTATCCTGAAGACAGAGCAGCAAACAGAGCTTGGGATAACTACACATTCTATATAGATTGTTGAATGTTTGAAGAATTCTCGACTTTACTAAGTGTTTGCGATTAATTTTAATGAAAATTAATGTCTGCAACAATATTATAAAGTCTTACATATTTTTTACAAAAAACTTCAGTTTATAAAATTTTACAATAATTTTATAATAACCATATTAGTTTAAGACAAAAAATGTTTTTATTTTTATTTTTTTGTTGAGGGTTTTTTTTTATGTTTGACATCTTTATGCTTAACTCAAATTGTTTGACACTCAATGTTCGGTTATTAGCCTTTAGATGGATTTATGACGAAAATGCGCAACTTTACAGTGCTGATAATTTTTCTTAAAAAACTGTTCAAAACTAAACATGCATTTTATTTATATTTTCACGTTACTATTAATAAAACACGTTTCATCATTCATAAAAGATTCTCGGGTAATTTATAGTACAAATTTTCGACCAAGACACAATATAGAAACTAGATCATATAAAGATACAATTATTACGCACAAAGCTCGTTTATCTATTTCAATAGGAGACGAAGATTTTGGTCAGATAGTGGTTGGATTGTTTGGTGAGGTTGCCCCAAAAACAACGGAAAATTTTGTTGAGCTATGTCAAGATACTTCGGTAAGTAGACTTTTTTTAGTCGCAAGATGTTTTTAAATTGCTGAAATATTTCAGGTTATTTGTTGTTGCTTGTTGAACAAGATGCTTTTTTACATTTTTAATTTAAAGCATGACTTGAAAAATACAAAATTTTTAATTAATAGAAGATCTATTTATCATGGCTGATTTGTTAGGATGGATATGCTGGTACGATTTTTCATCGAGTTATTAAAGGTTTTATGATGCAAGGGGGAGATGTTACTCATAAAGATGGAACAGGTAACTTAATAACGTAGGTAACCTTGTAATATTATTTTATAACTTTTAGAAATCGTCCTAAAATTACATAGCTTATTTAAAAAATAGAAGTAGGAGATCATTTGGTCTTTTACGCGGCGATTTTGCTGGACTTAAAGAGCTATACTTATTTTTGATTTAATTGAAGACTCTGCGAAGGAAAACCTAAGGCAGGAAGAACTTGGTGTTACAAACAGTCAGAACCTCGATATAGTATACTGATTTAGAGGATTTCACATAATGATGAATTTTCTCAAAAGTATTGAAAAACTGGATTTAACATTGTATCGTTTTTATCAATCAGTCAATCATCCCGTTTACGGGCTGAATAGGTACTATTTTATCAAACTTTACGGGACTGTATAAACAAAACTTTACGGGACGGTATAACTTTTATTAGGGACTGTAAGGTGAAAAGTGATAGAATCCGTTGATAGACCCGTAAAACTTTTTTCATTTTAAATTTGAAAAAAGGTAAACAGTTATATGACCAAGGCTCATATAATTGTTTACTTTTTAATTTGGCTGTGATTTTGTCTATTGCAAAAACTATGTTAAAAATATGCCCAAAAATGTGAAAAATATAAAAAAGCTTTTTAGGCACAGTCAAAAGTGCTGAAGATGTAATTATGAAACTTTATTGAATTGTTGCATAAACAGTTTGATTAAACCGTGAGAAATTATAGAACGTAGGCCTAATGTTAACTAATATTTTGATTAATTTCAAATTTTCAGGAAAAATATCCAGTGAAAGGAGGTGAATTAGGAGAATTGTAAAAAGAAAGAAAAAATTTTACGTTGAACAAAGAAAGAGTGAAACAAGCAAATATAGCGAAGAGAAACAGCCTGAGAATAGCAGCCGTGAGCGCAGTGGTAGCGCACTTGCCTCAGAAGCGTAAGATCCGTGGTTCAAACCTTACCTCTGGGCAAGTTTTGCGACATCGGTTGGGAAGGAGGCGAGAACTTCCTATTAAATGCTTTTCCGCGGTGCTCTGTGATAAGACCGTAAAGACTTCTTGGGGCACCTTAATGAAAAAAAAAAAAAAAAAAAAAAAAAAATAGTGGCAATAGAGAGACTGACAAAAAAACAATAACGATAGAATTTGTAATGGTAGTGAAGCAACTACACCGTTTAATAATTGTTATAATAAAAACTTTATTAATTATTTGTTTTACAGTCAATTGTTTTATACTCAATTAAATTTTGTCAAATTAAAAAACTGCAGAATTTAAACGCTCTTTCCAAATACATATGGCAAGTAAAAGAAAACCTAAAAAAAACCCTTATATAACCTGATCAATAATTAAAAAAGTTTTCGCGTAAAGTAACGTCACAAAAAAATGATTACTTTGTCTCCACGAGAACTTTTAATAATTTCATACCAAGGTAGCCCAGCTAAAAAAAAAATCGGAAGTACAATCAATGTGTTCTTACAAAAATAACTTTTTGCTTGACAACTACAAACCCAAAGCTTATAAAATCAAAAACTTACACAATATAAATATATATATATATATATATATATATATATATATATATATATATATATATATTCATATATATATATATATATATATATATATATATATGTATATATATATATATATTTATATATATATATATATATATATATATATATATATATATATATATATATATATATATATATATATATATATATATATATATATATATATATATATATATATATATCGATTGATGTTAAATTTGTATTACAATAGTAATACAAAACTCTATTTCGGTTAAGAGTGCTCAATAATAAAGAAAGTAAACAACTTTCTAACTAGAGCGGTTTATATTTATATATTTGTTTTTATTTACATATAGAAAAAACAACTTTTCATGGAACTAATAGTTTCATGCCTATACGGCAATCATCAGCCATGTACTATATCAAAAACAAACAAACCGTTAATAAAATTACAAAATACAGTGGAGCGACATCTGACGTCTCTATAGAGACAAAATAAGAAAACGTCAAAGAAAATCTTTTATAAATCAGCTAATCGCCAGTATCATAAAACGAAAGAAGGAATTTATTTTTATGCCTACAATTTGAAACCAACTCGTTCCTTTTGTTCAACAGGTTTCCTCCTGTATGCGTTAAAATAAAATACTTTTCATTTTGACAAAGATGGCAAATTTTGGACGAAGGATTACATGTTTGGCAGCGCTTGATAATTTTCCATTTAGTAACAAACGAAAAGTTTTCTTTTTTAAGTTTCCAAGTTTCTTTAGATAACTCCGTATCATTGCTGTACTTAATTAAATTAAAAGATTTTAAATGCTTTGCATACCTTAACTTGAAAGGGGTCTCGCTAATACCAGTATAAACTTTATCTGTATAATCTGATTTATTGGAAGAAACAGTAGCTTGATACACAATGTTCTTACTTAGACACTGGTTGTTCATAACGCAGGTAGATTTATTGATGCAGTTGCAAGTTTTTGTTGTCGTTTTTTCATGATTGTATAAAATATTTTGATTATGCGAATTAATGACTGGTTTAACGTTCGGCATACACGAGTAGCTAATTTTAATGGTGTTTCTGTTAAAAATCTTGTGTAATAAATGACCAATAGAAAAGTTTGCATCAATTATTTTTAAAAAAAGATTACCAATTTTTGTTGCAACATTTTTACTATACGGGGGATTATACCAAATAATGTTTCGTTTGTGATTTTTGTTTTTAGTGGGAACTATATCTGACTGATATTTGAGCTTGGATGAGAAACCCGATTTTTTTAATGCATCCTGATAAGGAGAAACAGCTTTTTTAAAAATTTTTTTGTTTGAAGATGCAGTAGACAATCTTAGTTCAATTGTTCGCGGTAGACTTTTTAATATGCACGGAGGTTGGTTAGAGTCGGCGTGAATATAATTAAGAGTGTTATCGGGCTTTGAGTAAAGTTGGAAGGTACTGTTGTTAAGATTTAATGTTAAGTCGAGGTAATTGACAATTTTAACATTACAGCTGATAGATAAATGGAGACCATTGCTTTTAAAAATTTTTACAAAATGCTTCTTTATTTTTTCCATTTGTTGGCCACTACGATTTTTAAATATAGCTAGACCGTCATCCCGGTATAAACCTAATTCTTTCCCGTTGTAATATTGAGATAGTTGGTACAAGATAAAAATTCAGACTAATTCGCATATTTATGCACCATCATAAGCACCCATAGTTACATCAAACAATTCTCCGTTTTTTTTAATCCAAGAATCGCTATTGGTAAAGATTAAAGATTTTCTCGCGTGTATAATAAATTTCCTATCTTCTTGATTTATAACTAGGTGCTGACCAGCAAACTCTATTGCGTCGCTAAGTAGTTTTACATTAATCGATGGGTAAAAGTTAGTTATATCGAAAACTAAAAATGTGTAGAGGTGTTTTTCATTAATACTTTGAAACCGATGTAAAACATCTTGCGAGCTTTGCCATTGGTTTAAACAGAGCTTTTTTCTCAATGTAGCATTGGGTTTTGAGATTCATCCTACTTCGTTTTTTGCTGGGTTTAACAGGCGAACGGTGGGGTTATTTAAAAAGTTTACTTTGTGGTCTTTGAGAGTGATGGAGCAATTAGAATTATCATTTAACTCAATATTGTTAAATACATCGTGGTTGGTTAAAATTTCTTTACTTTCCTTATTTATTTTATGGTTTAGATTATGTTCAGCTTTTTTATACGTAGATGTTATGGCGTAGATGTTATATATATATATATATATATATATATATATATATATATATATATATATATATATATATATATATACATATACATATATATATAAATATATATATATATATATATATACATATATATATATATATATATACATATATATATGTATATATATATATATCTATATATATATATATATATATATATATATATATATATATATATATATATATATATATATATATATATATATATATATATATATATATAAAACTTAGTTTTTAATTTAAACAGAAAAATGAAAAAACACTACTGTGTTTTTTCATTGAATATGGAAACATTATGCAATCAAGTAAGTGCAGCTGAAAAACAACTTTATAAAGAAAAACTACCTTTGCAATGGTACCCATACGACCATTCATAATTATTCGAATGGCATTAATTTTTTTTAAATGCTATTTTTTATTTAACAATTTTTTATGTTTATTTTTGAATTAGATATAGTTTAAAAGTAGATAGTTTATATAGATTATTAGTAGATAGTTTATATAGATTGTTAGTAGATAGTTTATATAGATTATTAGTAGATAGTTTATATAGATTATTAGTAGATAGTTTATATAGATTATTAGTAGATAGTTTATATAGATTATTAGTAGATAGTTTATATAGATTATTAGTAGATAGTTTATATAGATTATTAGTAGATAGTTTATATAGATTATTAGTAGATAGTTTATATAGATTATTAGTAGATAGTTTATATAGATTATTAGTAGATAGTTTATATAGATTATTAGTAGATAGTTTATATAGATTATTAGTAGATAGTTTATATAGATTATTAGTAGATAGTTTATATAGATTATTAGTAGATAGTTTATATAGATTATTAGTAGATAGTTTATATAGATTATTAGTAGATAGTTTATATAGATTATTAGTAGATAGTTTATATAGATTATTAGTAGATAGTTTATATAGATTATTAGTAGATAGTTTATATAGATTATTAGTAGATAGTTTATATAGATTATTAGTAGATAGTTTATATAGATTATTAGTAGATAGTTTATATAGATTATTAGTAGATAGTTTATATAGATTATTAGTAGATAGTTTATATAGATTATTAGTAGATAGTTTATATAGATTATTAGTAGATAGTTTATATAGATTATTAGTAGATAGTTTATATAGATTATTAGTAGATAGTTTATATAGATTATTAGTAGATAGTTTATATAGATTATTAGTAGATAGTTTATATAGATTATTAGTAGATAGTTTATATAGATTATTAGTAGATAGTTTATATAGATTATTAGTAGATAGTTTATATAGATTATTAGTAGATAGTTTATATAGATTATTAGTAGATAGTTTATATAGATTATTAGTAGATAGTTTATATAGATTATTAGTAGATAGTTTATATAGATTATTAGTAGATAGTTTATATAGATTATTAGTAGATAGTTTATATAGATTATTAGTAGATAGTTTATATAGATTATTAGTAGATAGTTTATATAGATTATTAGTAGATAGTTTATATAGATTATTAGTAGATAGTTTATATAGATTATTAGTAGATAGTTTATATAGATTATTAGTAGATAGTTTATATAGATTATTAGTAGATAGTTTATATAGATTATTAGTAGATAGTTTATATAGATTATTAGTAGATAGTTTATATAGATTATTAGTAGATAGTTTATATAGATTATTAGTAGATAGTTTATATAGATTATTAGTAGATAGTTTATATAGATTATTAGTAGATAGTTTATATAGATTATTAGTAGATAGTTTATATAGATTATTAGTAGATAGTTTATATAGATTATTAGTAGATAGTTTATATAGATTATTAGTAGATAGTTTATATAGATTATTAGTAGATAGTTTATATAGATTATTAGTAGATAGTTTATATAGATTATTAGTAGATAGTTTATATAGATTGTTAAAATGCTTTGATAAAAATCATAAGAATAATAAAAATGCTAAAGCGGAAAAACTTCATAAAATATGGGCCATCAATGGCTGTAAACGCGGACCGATGTGTCGAAGATTTAAATCTTTGGTTTCAAAATAAGATTGTTTGTCTGGGAAAAAAAAATCATTAAGTTTATGATAAAATAAGGTGTATTATTGACTGTAAAACATGGTGGATGTAGTGTTAAAGTGTTTTGGTTAGAATGACACAGGTGACTTTGCGAAAAAAAATGACAAAACTAGTTTACTTGTACACTTAAAAAATTATGCTACACCTTGGAAAAGATGGTTTAATGAGAAGCAAATGATTTAGCCAACATTAGTGATGTTAATTGCAAAATGATTTAGCCAACATTAGTGGAGACACTTTTATTGTAGGGTGGGTAAAAACACATAATTACATGTTTTAAATCTAAATTGTATATAACAACAATTATTTACATTAACTGTATATATGTATTTTTTTAATTTCTCAAGGTGGTAGAAGTATTTATGGTCCTGAGTTTGATGATGAAAACCTGAACATTAAACATATGGGAGCAGGAACTTTATCAATGGCAAATTCTGGACCTGATTCAAATAATTCTCAGTTCTTCATAACATTTGTTAATACTGAATGGTTAAATGGAAAACATCAAGTATTCGGAAAAGTTCTCTCAGGAATGGTATAAAAATTTGTTATATCATATTAAACAAAGATTTGCGTTGTATTTTTTGTTTTATTTATCTGAAATATTTTGTGTAGAATATTGTAAAAGAAGTAGAGAATGTACAAACTAATAAAGATGATCGACCGTTAGAAAATGTGACCATTACTGATTGCGAAGCAAAAAAAGTTGAGGAGTTCACGCTTCAGGACTATATGAACGCTGACGCTTAAAACTTTCTTATAACTAATATGTTTACCAGCTTGTGTAATATGATCGTACTTATATACATTTTTTGGATTTTGTTTAGTTTTCATGCAAAATTTACAATAACCATCTTACATTTGTGCACCAATGAGTTTATTATTTTTAATTCATGTCAACTTGTTTATATACCCATCGAAATGCAATAGTGGTGTAGTGGTAGAGCGCTCGCATCACAAGCGAGAAATTTCGAGTTCAATCCCCACCACGTCCCTGGTAGTACCGAACTTAAATTTTTTCTTCGCGCAGCGGATTTGTTCGTCAAGGTTCGTATTTCGGAGTCGAGAGATGGTTGTAACCATAAAAGTAGCCTCCTCGACTGTAGTGGCCTTCTCGGCCTTGGTAAGGTAAATAAATAAAAAAAAAAAATGAAAAAAAGAAATGGTAATAAATTACGATTCATAAAGAGAGAAATTTGCAGGGGCGGCGACAACGAAGTGGAGAGACACAATCGTAAATTTATAAATTCATTTTAAATTTTAACCAAATTTTGACAAACGTCAATTTTCAGTGGAATGAACAGTTCGTATTTACAATAATTTTACACATTTTTCCATAAAAAAAGTTCCTCTATATTATATTAATTTTTTAATTTTTTTCAAAAAAGATCATTTATAAAAAAAGTGGGGGTGTCGTCGGCCCTGATTTGGCCACACGGATTGCTAACTGCTAAGTAGCGACCAACCGTTAAACAACTATTTTGCTAAAAGAATTGCCAGCTATGTATGAAATTTTAATAAGCATTTAAATAAGATTACTTTTAAAAAAAATAAAATACAAAATATATAAAACTTGCTTTTAATAAAAAGATTATAAAATCTGACTTTAACAGATTGAAATATATATATATATATATATTTTTAAATTTAAGTTAAATAACTTCGCACACATTATATTAGTAAATATTCTCAAAAGTATTAAAAAAAAATTTTTGAATAATAATTTCTAGCTTTTTTACTTCCTTCTAACTTTCTTTCTTTAACTTTCTTCTAACTTTCTTCTTTCACTTCTATCTAACTTTCTTTTTTTTTTTTTTACTACCTAAGGTAAAAAAATAAAGTAAGTACTACCTTAAGGTAATTAAAAAAAAGTTAGAAAGTTTTTTAGTTCTAACTTTCTTTTTTTTACTTTAAACTTTCTTTTTCTTACTTCAAACTTTCTTTTTCTTACTTCAAACTTTCTTTTTCTTACTTCAAACTTTTTTTGTTTTACTTCAAACTTTCTTTTTTTTACTTCTAACTTTCTTTTTCTTACTTCAAACTTCCTTTTTCTTACTTTAAACTTTCTTTTTTTTACTTCAAACTTTCTTTTTCTTACTTCAAACTTTCTTTTTCTTACTTTAAACTTTCTTTTTCTTACTTCAAACTTTCTTTTTCTTACTTCTAAGTTCCTTTATTTTACTTCTAACTTTCTTTGTTTTACTTCAAACTTTCTTTTTTTTTTTACTACAAACTTTCTTTTTTTTACTTCAAACTTTCTTTTTCTTACTTCAAACTTTCTTTTTTTTTACTTCAAACCTTTTTTTTCTTACTTCAAACTTCTTTTTTTTTCAAAATAAATGGCAAAAAAGTTAAAACAAATAAAAAACTGTTTGCAACAATCATCAGCATGATAATAACTTTCTAAATAAAATGTTAGCTGGAATTAAAACACGAGTCAATAGTGTTAAGTTTTTTTATTTTCTAACAGAACTATTCCTGCTTCTTAAAAAATAAGTTTTCTGCAAAATATCAACCTTTTGATTATTTAAAAGTTTTGCAATTACTCGGTTTAGTAGCCGTTGAAAATAAAGAGTAAGCTGCTCTAAAAATCAAACTTTCAACTGGGTCCATAAACTTATGCTTCTTATCTACCCTCAATTCAATTGATATTGCAACACAACTTGTCTGTTATGCAAGTTTTTATACGTTTTTTTATTAGTTGGTAAATAATGTAAGTTGCCACTTTATTTGTGACAATTTTCACTCTCTTAACATTTAATTGAATTAAGGAGGATTTTCACTCTACATTGGAATTGATAAGGTATTAAAAAAACTGCAGTCTGTTCAAAACTGTGCCGCAAGACTAATTTTAAAAACCAGAATAGAAAATCGAGTAAATGGCCAGAAATTTAACAACTTGATTGGGCTAAAAATTTGAAATATACTTTCAAATATCATCCGTGACAGAAAAAACACAACTATTTATAAGAAAATTCTAAAATCTTATTTAATGGTGAATTGAGAATTGTTGCACCAAAAAACTTTTCAACATTTAAAATTTATTTATGAGTTTTAAATTTTTACATTTTCAAAAAAAAGTCAGTAATTGTTGATTGTCTTTTATGAGCTTGTGAATCCATATCAACGAAAGGATTTATGTCTTTAAGAGAATTGGTCAAACTATCTCCAATAATCTATAGTTTAAGCGATCAAATTTGTATTCGGTGAAAGAAAGATAAACCAGTCAAGTTTCTGCACGTTAAGATGAGCGGAACAGTTATCTATATGGTCAGTTTCTTTTATCCACTCCTCAAATAAATTTGCCAATATTTTTGAAATATATATACGACAAGGAATATTTTACAAACTTTTGAAACTTCTAGAAGGTATCAAATTTCAAATTACAAACATAAAAGCCTTTCTCCGCTAACATTACCTGCGGCCAACCCAGTCAGGCAAACATTACTATGTGCACTTTTCTTTTTTTAAATGTTTAAAACTAATCTCTTTTGCAAAATATAAAATTGTTTCTTTTAATAGAAAACCACTAATATCGACATTATCAGTTCTTAATGGTTCGAACCATTTAAGTTCTTAAAATTCTTAAAATTAAAACTCTTTATGAGTCAAAAATGTCAAAAATAAAACAATTTAAAGTTTTTAACTTTGTTCTATCAAAAAAAATCATTGTTTGTTAGCTACAAGCTAACAAATAATGAATTTTATTATAATAATATATAATAATAATTTGTTAGCTACAGCTAAAACAATGTTTTATAAAAATTAGTCATTTTTAACTAAAATCAGTAAACTGATAAATCTTTATTGTAATTAACTTAATAGATCAGGTCAGGTTTATCCTGCTACTGGTATTATGTAACCCAGTAACAAGTTTTCTATTTTTTAATAATAATTAAAAAATAGAAGTCTTTACAGAGAAATAATAACGGACAAAAATTTACATAATGAACCAATATATTTACTAGCAAAAGGCAACCCGTAATACGGGTTTTGGTCGGTCTGTTACATAATTAATTTATAGTAGCTGTTTTCCACAATTTAATCTTGCAAAACCTTAACTAATACCTTTTTAGAAAATTGCCTTCAGCTTGAAAAAATTAATCCATCTGTAAAATTAACATAAAAATTATGAGGAGGTAAAATAATTTACCAAATACTACTTAACATTATTAAGTAATTTACAAATGGCACAGGTCATAACAGTGTAAGGCAGAACCATTTTCATCGACCTTCCTAAGTTTAACACAATACGTTTTTAGTTACTGACGCAAAATAATAACACTTGGTTATACTTTAAATTGACGAAAGTGTCAACTAAATCCTTAAAATAATTTTTATAACACGAACCATTAAGGATAAAATGAAGTTAATTTATATTATACAGGAGTTATCAATTTTTTGTTATCCCCTTGATTAATTGTTCTTTAGAAAAGAAAATTGGTAACTTAAAAATGTTAAATGCACACGTTTAAATAAATTTATAAAAAATAACAAAGTTTATTATACTACGCAACTGAGTACAAATACCTTTCAAACAAAAGAAAATTTAATTTACGATCAAACATAGGTATAACTAATTTTTTAATACATTAATGCATCATAGAACAAACTAAAATAAAAATTATAAGAGATAAGTAGACAAAAATTTGTAAACCAAGCTGACCCGACCCGGGTCTTGTTAAGTCTGTTCAACACAGACCATTTGTATATCATTTATTTGGCCTCTTTATTTTATTAAATTTTTAGTAAACGGTAATTTGCCACCATTTACTAAAAATTCCTTTTGTAACTCGAAATTTAATTTTTCTAAATATTTTGGCTCTAATAAAGAGGTTCCTTCCCTCTTTTTGCTTTAATGGTGGCCTGGTGAATAAAATAAAATATTAAAATGTAAAACAATGATCTACTTATATAAAAATGTTTTCTTTCTTTCCTCAAAAGTGTTGCTAATACAGACTAAGCTAACTAATTAGTTAAACACATAAATAAAACTTAAGTAACTCGATATTAATGCGCAAAACTACAATATTCTCCGTATTTTTAAAGGTTTTTAGTTACGACCGCCCATTCAACCCATACGACCCCCCAATCAATTCTCTCTCTACAATTCTCAATACTAATTCTTATTTAAGTCTCATCTAAGAGAGAGAGGAAGTGTTTTAAAAACACCATGTTAGAAAAAGTAAAAAAGTCATGCAATAAATAACAGTAACTGGTTTTATTATGCTACCAATAAACAAAATTATTTTTACCTTAACTAAAAGTTAATTTCCAGCATTTCTTAATTTATTTCCAGCTTCTCTCTAACTGTTGACAAATGATTAATATTGTAAATTTCACATCATATTAAATTTACAAAATTAAAACCATGTTTTAACAGTAAGCAAAATAATCAAGTGATGACAAAGACAACTAAAAAAAAAAATGAACAATTATATTAAGATTACAAAAGTAAAAAAAAAAAAAAAAAAAAAAAAAAAAAAAAAAAAAAAAAAAAAAAAAAAAAAATCATTTAAAACTGAAATTTTTATTATTTGTTACTATAAATAGTAAAATTCATACTTTGCTTTATTTTAAAGTGTCTAATGTAAAGTCAAATAATATACATCAACAGCGCTTGACACTGAATTCTGCCAAGTAAGTTTTTGGTTCATCAAGCAAAATTTCTTATATTTCAACGACAATTAATTTTATCATGCCTAGATCTATTTCTTTCATATGACAACAATTTAAAGTCACCTATAACCATTTACACTAATAACTTCTTCGAGCCTAATATTATAAATCTGTTATCATTAAATATATATTACCAGT